CTCAGGCAGAGCTTATTCCAGTGTCTTGATGTGATGTAGCATTGACTGGGTGGTACAGATGTGCTCACACAGTCCAGACCGTAAAAGAATTGCAATCAAATTCCTGCTCCAGGATGGCAAAAAAAAAAAAAAAACAAACAACTTTGGATCCCAAATACCAGGAAACATTATATAAGAGATAAATTAGTCTATATTGTTGATACCTTCAACCATCTCTTCTTCCATTCCTTTTTAGTGAGAAAAAGCATGTGAATATCACAGGTGACCATCATGTATTTTCATGTATTCCCCAGAACTGTTTTCTCTCTTGCTTTTCCTCATTTAGCACTTATTTTATCTATTTTCCTCTCTTAACTCATCTTTTTCATTCATCAAATCTTTCTTTATCAAAGCCTTAATTTTTAACTTTTCTTCCACTGCCGTTTGAACTTTTCTTTCTTCTGTTGTTCTTTTCCCACTTGACTTTCCTCTTGTTATCATTTGTCTCCTCCTTGTTCCTATTTCTTTTCCTGCATGTTTCATCCATTTGCACCAATCCTCCTCAGCCCCTCCTTTTGATAGCTCTAATGTAGCTGGTTTCTGGCAATTAGCCACTTCTTTACCATTGTCTAAAGAAGCATTTTAAACCTTGAACAGAGGGGCTCCTTTCCAAAGTACCAATTCATTCCAGCAGGGCTGGAGATATAACTCCCCTGTGACAGGATGGAACAAGCCGGCATGCAAGGTTTTGGAAAGAGCAGGTTAAAGGAATCTCAGCTCTTAGGGCTCAGATGATGAGTCTTATGGCAACAAATCACTGGTGAAAGCATGTGCTGCAGTGTCTAACATGCCAGCAGCCTACAGCATTTGGCATCAGGGGATCAAACAACCAAAAAAAAGGAAGTGGAATTATGCCAAAGACATGACATCCTGAGCACTCGTGCAAGAATGTTACTGATTAGACCAAAAGGATGGTCAGTTTTGATGCATTTATCAGAACTGTCTATTTTATCACCAAAGTAGCTTAATGAGCTCCCTTTTTCATCCCAACAGACTGGCAGCCTGGGAAAATGCTATGCTATTAATAGAACGGTATTTTTAGAAAGATGAAAAAAAGAAAAAGGCAAGAGTCCAGATTTTATCCCCCCCTCTACAATGGCATCTGTGATACAGCTGGAACACACGTACCAGAGGAAGGTCACCTCAGTTGAGAGAGCAATCACAAACCCCACAGGAAACATGTCTGAGCTTCCCAGTAACTCATTTCACTGGAATACTGGCTGTCCTATATTGGCTCATCGTATCCAACAGCAGAGCTGGGTTTGAAGGAATGTAGATTCGTATGAGTTACTAGCTACATCTTGAAATCATCAAAATATGAATGTTTAATCCCATAATCTGAGTATTAGTATTTAAATCAGTGTCTATAAGGTTCCTCTGATTTTTTGAAGGAGTTGAATGCAATCCATTTTGGGAGAAACTGATGTTGAGATCAACATTCTTAGTACTTTGTCTAAGTAAAACGCTTTTCTTTGCTCCTAGGGCACTAGGAGTCTGTATTTATTTGCAATTTCTTTATATATACACATAATAAGAATACATACAACAAATACATATATATGTAACATATATACATATAATATATATCTGTTGCTCTAGGGGTGGGACTTTTCAGAGAAATCAGAAAATACATACACACAGAATGCTTTACATTATTGTTCTGCCAATAAATTTGAAGAGAACTTTCTTCTCAACTCCTTCCTTTCTTGAAGAGCACAGATTAAGCAAATTATTTAAAGACATTCTTATATTCCTTCAAGTCAGATGCTAAATAAAACTCTTGCCTAAGTAATTTGCTGTATTGGGGCCCTCAAAAAGTAAAGTGCGGCAAGACAGAAACCTGCTTTTGGAACTCTTGACAGCAGAGTGCCTTGAGCTGACAACTGATCTCTTTTTGAAATGAATTATTTTGTGCTTTAGATTATATCAGGTAATCCTTTAGGAACACAAATGACCTTTTCAGTTTGTTTGCTTAGAGTCTCTCCCAGATGAATTGCTAACTTCCTGCACCTGTGAGTTCCCTCCTCACTCTCCCATATTGCATTTCTTCATTTGGATTGGTGTGCATCCCTCTGCTACTCCTGACACACCTTTGTTTAAGTGCTACTGTTTCATATTTTGATGTCTTGTGGCACTAAATTCCTATAGCTCTGATCATGTATTTACAGTAGCAATGTGCCCACTCTCCACTGTCTCTCACAAATTTTGTTCAGGACTTCATTACCTTTCTTTAACAGTAGGCCCTGATTTCAAGAAATGAATACTAATGCTCAAAACCAGCTATTAAACATGCATATTTTGAAGATTGCAGGAGGTAGCTAGTAACTCATACCACATACATCTACATTAGCTGAAACCCTGCTCTGGTCCAGTCCAACACTAGAAATGCAGATATCTCCGTACAAGATGCTGACAGTAAAAGTTGGTCCGAAAGTTTCAAGTCAAAACAAAGGTACCCTGAGAATTAATACAGGACCAAAATTGGATCAGCAACAAATTAAAACACTACTTTCCATTCCTGTTTTCCACTGAAAGTATTCAGAAGACAGAAATTATTAATTTGGGTTTGTGTGGGTAACAAGAGTGATAGGAAGGATATAACTCTTAACACTTGGAGGTGAGAACTTTCAGGCTTGCCCATCTAAAGCTAATGGTATGGCAGGTTTCCACATACCATTATATCACCATGACTGCAGACTCACCACTGACATCCCTCTGGTGCTCCATGCACTTCTCATCCTGGCTTGGAACAAAGTCAAGCACAAGGTTAGATTTTTCAGATCAGCTGCATCTACACCAGCATTCAAAAGAGGTAAATGTAAAGTGATAACGAATATTAGCAAACCAAGCCAACTCCATGAAAAGTTGGAGTGTGAATGGATGAGTTTCCGCCCATTGCATAAAGTCCATTAACCAGCAGCATTCTCGTCGGAGTTCATTAAAATTTCAGAGAAATGATTTTGCAGTTTCTTCCTGGTGCCAGGATGAATGCTGAGTTTACAGCAGGCACTGTCCAGTGCTTCTTGTTGCTCTTAGAATGACATCAAACTTTTCATTTTATTTTGTTTACTTTCCTGTGCTGCTACTGACAAGCAATGGTAAGACAGAAGTTCATTCAGTGTGAAAAAACAAGGTTCATATGTTGTCATTGAGCATGAAATTACTTTCACATAGTAGTGAAAGTTGTTGCCTGGATGTATATTTTTCTTTTGCTGAATATGTACATTATCTTGTGGACTTTGAACAAATGAAACCTGAATGATATTGCTCATCGTTACTTCAGCATAAATACAGACTGTAGTCAAAACCGATTTTCTTTTAATATCTTTTCTTGGTGTCTTCCGTATATAATTAATTAGCTCACTGACTTTTTCTTTTTTAGACTGCAGTAACAGGAAGTAGAAAATAATAGTAAACACCTACTGCATTCTGTGGATTCTTAACACTTAACACTTATAAACTTAGAAGGCTTTTAACCCTATAACTTCAAATCATTTTAAGTTCATTGTGTCTAAACAGATCAATGTGAGTGCTATCAGCTGTAATACACAAAAAATAAATTTGCTCCAAAGATTTTGCCCAAGCTTCTGCTAAGGTTGGAAGTCTCTGGATGTCTCTCATAGGTATCAGCCTTCTGCCAAAATTTCCGAATGAGCAAAGGAACCAAAAAGGTTTTTACCCACTTAAAGGCAAAACTAGATTAATTTTTTATGCTTGTTTTATTTTTATGGCATAAGTGTGTCAGCATTTCCCTTCACTGAATGGAATGTAAGACCCAGGTTGTTACATTGTGTTTGTAAGTAAAGGCGTAACTCTGAATTTAGTTGACTGATTTTTGCCAATTTTTTCTTTTACAAAATGTGCTAAGAAAGGCTGCTTCTGGGTTTTCATTTTACTGAAAGGTAGAATATCTGCTCAGTAAAACACAGCAATGGTCCTTGTTTTGGCATCAGAAAAGACACTAAACTTAATCGGCAGCAAAGTAACTAATAGTTTAAAACTACAAAATTTTTTTCAAACAGAAACTCTCAGCCTACTAGTAGTGTAAGAGGGTTACCAATTTCTGCATCTTTTCATAACTAAATATAATCTTATTTTAAGAGATAACTATTCTAAGCAATTATCTTGTTGATTTCATAGTTGTCCAAGTCCCTGAAAATGGCTAAAATTTGTCAGCTTTTGGGTGAGATGAATATTTAACAGAGTGTGATGTCAGAAGGTCCCAGAATGACAATTCCATTCTGACCCTCAGTTACACAGTTGACAACATTTCCATGAATTCATTTGTGTATGAACTGGAGCAAACTCAAAATTGATTTCAAAGTTGCTAGTGATAGGAATTTAGAGGCCTTTATATTTTTTTGTTCTACCTGGGTAGTTGTAGATTGTAGAAAAAAAAATAATTCTTTCAATGTATTAAAACTCTGCTATGATACTGTTTTACAGTGAGTTACATTTTCAATCCTCTGTTTTATGGCTTTTTCCTGAACACTCTCCAGCATATCCACATACTTCTTGAATTTCAGACAAGGCATTTGGAAGGATGGGAGTATGAGTTGGTTGTTTATTTGCAGAGGTCAATACTTTCAAAGTTTTCTATCTTGAAAATATGGTTTATATTGCTCATGATATGTCACCATCATAAGTGCTTTTTCCATCCTAAAAGTAGGTAGGCTTTATTAACTTTCATTAATTAATTTTCAAGGGCTGTACCTGAAACTTCCTCAACCTCCCATTCTAAAGTCCCACTTCCAAGTTTATTAATGGTCAGTCTATACCTATTTGGGAGTCTTTTTACTAGTCATGTTTTCAGTCTTTTATAGCCTCAGTCTCTCACTGATCATTATCCCCTTTGTGTGCCTTGATGTATTTGAAGACAACAATCTTAATCCCTCCATGTTTAATCCTCCACCCTTCACTTTGCTCACTCAAATAAGCAAACCTTTTTCTGCTTTTTCCAGCCAACAAAAGGATACCAAATCCTGTTATTTCCTGTTTACTGTCCTGCTGGCACGTTCAAGCTTGCTGTCCCTCCTGAGCTGTGGAAGTTTCAACAGAGGACAGAGAGTGGTTTAACCAGATTTACCCAGAGCATCTCCCCAACCAGAACGGCTCTAGCAAATGGAGGTGGCAGTTTCACATGTTGTAAAATGAAACAAAAAAATTAGTCACCTTACCACGTCTTGTGAAAAAAGTTGTAAGTAGTTACTATCAGATTTCCTGAAGATGAATAAAGATCCTCCCTTTTCTTATTTCCTTAAATACTTAGAATAATTCAACTTAGTAGTTACTTCTGATTTATATTAAGTGAAAACTAAACTTAGAACAGATTGATCCTCTACATTCTGGCTGATGTGCTGCAAACTATTGCGGATAATCTACTAACAGCCCTCTTCTACCCCCATTTCACCCAGGTGTAGCAATGGTCTCAATATTAACATGTAAACAACCCTGCCACCTAACCACTATCATCCATGCTCTTCCAGAAAAACAAATTTTATCAGGCAAATTCAGATGCAGATTGCACTGGCTCAAGCCAGTTCTCCTTATCATTAATGACCAGAACTGTCTCCCAGTTCTGCAAATGTGGACCCAGGCACCTCACGCAGTTCTGGGGTGATTGCTTTTATCTGTGCCCTGTTTTCACTCCTGAGGACAGCAGCAGCTCATGTGTAGTTTATTTATGCTTTTTTTCTTTTTAAACCCCAGACACCGTTTTTTAGCTGTTGACATTAAGACTCTGTGTCTTGGTAGCTAAATAAACGAACCTCAGGCTATTCAGTCTTAGAGTGATGAAAATTTTTGTCAGCACAACTGTTTGCTTCATATTATCTGGTTCCATACTTATCCTGGGAAGTCCTGAGTGGCCTCTGCCAACAGGAAAGGGGGCACCTACCACATTGAAGAAGGCATCTCTTCTCCATGCATGGCCTAGGCACCATGGACAGAATAAATTGTGGGTAATTTATAAAGATTTAAACAATATTTAGAAAAATTTGTACCCTCCAACAGTCACATGGAATAAATATTATTTAGGAATGAGAATATTCATGGGTACAACATGGGAAAAAAGTTCCATGATGTTGGTTTGAACATGTATTTTCCACATCAGAATCACAGAACTGTTAAGGTTGGAAAAGACCTCTGGGATCATCAGGTCCAACCCGGTGCTGTACTGTTCACCACTAAACCACATCCCCAAGTGTCACAGCCACATGTTCTTTGACCATTTTGAGCATTGTGCCTCCCTATTCACTAGCCACATTTCTCAACACTTTTGGGCCTGTATTACCCGAAATTCTCACCCATCTGACAGACATGGTTACAGCTAGCACAAAAGCTACAGTGGGAGAATAACATGGAGAAACTAAAAATGAAAACATTTGATAGGTAGAATATTATCATGTATCCCTGGTCATTTGGGGTTGATGTCCAACAGGAAAGACCAGCAGAAAGGGCATTTGAAAGTGTCATTATTGAAATGGCCTTCAACTGAGATGGGAGATTCAGATCAGATATTAGAAAAAAAACCACTGTTTGGGTGGTCAGGCATTGGAATGGGTTGCCCAGGGAGGTGGTGAAATCTCCCTCCCTGGAGATGTTTAAGAGGCGTCTGGATCTGCTGTTGGGTGATGTGGTTCAGCAGTTTAGGGGTTACAACGGAGCACTGCCATATGGGTTGGTGGTTGGACTTGATGGTCTTAAAGGTCTCTTCCCACCTTGATGGTTCCATGATTCTATATTTAAAGCTATTGCAAAAACATATGCATTTCGGCAAAGGCCCAGGCCGTTCATGAGTCTCTGCATGACTAAGCTTATGTGAGCATCCAGCTCACAGCACAATTCGCGTCCGAGTGCGTTGCGAGAGCCATCGGCCAGCACAGGCATTTTATATTTTTTATTTTTCCTGGGGAAGGCAGGCAGGCAGGACAGCCCACACCGTGTGTGAGCAGGGCGGGGCTGGGCAGGGCGGGCACCCCCGGGGGCTCCAGCACAGGGACGTCGGGCACCATCTGGGCACGCCCGGCGCCGGAGGCAGCTCGGGAGCCGAAGGCGTCCCCTCAGGCCCGGTCTTTTGAACGGCCGTTCGTTAAACAAGAGCAGCCCCGCTCCGCATTGTCCGCGCAGCGCCGGCCGCCGCCACCCCCCTCACGCGGCCGCTCCCGCGGGGGCTCCCGCGCTCTCCCCTCAGCGCCGGCGGGCGGGGACGTAACGGCGGGGAGCCCTTCCCGGGAACCCTTTCCCGCAGGGAACGCCCCGCTCCGCCGGCAGCAGGGAGCCCGTCCCGGGAGCCCGTCCCGCAGGGCCCGCCCCGCTGAGGCGCGGGAGGAGCCGGGGGACGGCCCCGGCGGGCTGGGGGCGGAGGGGGCGGGCGGCGCTCGCTCCCCCCGCGGTGACAGTTTCTAGAAGCTCGTCCCGGCGTCCTTTGCGGCCCCAACATGGAGGAGCTGACGGTGGAAGTGCGCGGCTCCAACGGGGCCTTCTACAAGGTACCGGCGGCGGGGGCGGCGCGGGGGGCTCCGCGCCCGGCGGGGCCGGGGCCGAGGGGCCGCGGGGGAGGGCGCGGGCAGCGGGGAAGGTGCGGGGGGCGCGGGGCCGGGGGCGGCGGGGATGGAGCGGGGCGGAGGCGGGGGGCGGCGGTGACGAGGCTGGCGAGGGCTGCGCTCAGGGGAGGGTCGTGTGGTGGGAAGGCAGAGCCGCCGGCGGGGCCGGGGGGAGCAGATGCGCGGCGGGGGGGATTCCCCGGGCCTTCATTTTGGGGAGGGTGGGTGGGTGTGGGAGGGGTTGATTTTTCGGGATGTAGGGGCTTTTGGGTGGGATGGGGCGAGCCGGGACGGTAATAATGATTTTTAAAATATTTAAAATAATTTTTTCTGAGATTCCGAGTTTATTTATGCCATCAGAAATCTTCCTTCACCATCACCCTCCCTGGAATGTCAGGATGGTACAGGATCAATGCAGAATACTCTCAGCTGTTGCCTGTCAGTCATTTTCCCTTAAGCCTGGCTTCAGATGTTTAAGAATCCCAGCTCTTTTTATGGCAATAGCCTCCTGTCTTCCTTTCGAGAAGGGCTGATTCCAGCCGGTATTGTGAGCACGCAGCGTGGCTGTGTTCTGGGAGGATTTAATCTCAGGACTCTCTTTAGCTATTGTGCCCAACCACATGCACAGCCAGTGTTGCACTGGGGGGCGTGGGGTTGTCCTTTTTCTTTTTTTTCCCCCCTCTGAACTTCCTGTGTGCAGCTGTGGATTTGGCTTGGAAGTCATGTGGTAATTTTACAGTATGTGCAGGCAGTTGGTTTTAAGGGATTGCAACCAGCTGACTTCAGGAGTTAGTTTTTTCAACTGGCCATGACAAATGGGAGATACTCTTATGGGAAAAGAATGCAGCGGGGTAACCTGCATCCCCTTGGTAGGGAACCCTCTGAAATTTTTTACTAAAATCAATAGATAATAAATTTTCTAAATCAGATACATTTTTTTGGCGAACTCAAAGTAACAAACACAGAAACCCACATTAGAATCATTTGTATCAGGAACAGGATGCTCCTAAATAGAATTAATTTTTTTCACCCCCCCGCTGCCCCTTAGGAAGTCCAGAATTTGGAAATGCTCTTCTTAGCTTTCCATTTTCTACCTTGTGATCTTGGATGAGTTTACAAACCATGGATTAGTTGTTTCTTCTGCTTAAGAGGAATGTGAGACTCACGGGAGTATGAGCAGGTGTGCTGAATTCTTTGACTGAAGGGATATGTGTGCACAGAATTTATTACAATAAGCCTGATGTAAAATCTGCAACGATGACATCTCTTCCTAAGTCAGTGAGAATTGTCAGACTTGAATTAGCACCATTGTGTGTTTTAGCCATATGAACACTAGCTAACAAAAGCAGAAGTTTTAATTAAAAATGGCAGAATGGCTTTGAGATCAATGAAATGAGGATTAAGTCCAGTGGTGGCATCTTCATGGTGGATGAAGGCAGGTTAGAGTGATTGGATGTGCCATGATCAAAGCCTCAATTCAGTCATCCACTGTCAATGTGGAGGGGAAGAAAAACCACAAAAACCAAAAAATACAAACCAAATAGACCAAAGAAACACAATTTTAAAAGATTATTCTTGTGAGCTACATGCAGTGCAATATGTCAGTGACTCCATTTTGTGAGTCTTACAGTTGAAGTAGGCAGAGGCTCTGCAGTATTTTGGAACTAGGTAACAGTCCTAGACACTTGCTGTTTAAAGTTTCTGAAGCAAAGGAGCGAGGTGTGTCAATCACATTTAAGAAGCAATTATCATGTTGTGTGCAAGATAAGGAGAAGAAACTCATGTTGTCTGAGCCACATGACATTGTATGGACGGTGGCAAAAGTTTTCTGAAGAGAAAAGCAGAATTTGTAAGATGGGATGAAATTTGAGGTTTGCCCTTAGAACAATCTGAATTCAGAGTCATTAGCATGACATACCTCCAGGTACATGAGATGAGAAAGATTGCACTGTGCCAACAGAGATAAAAACCAAAATAATTATGTAAACAGTAACATGAGAGTTTGGGTTTGGGTTTTTTTAATGGGTTGTTACTATGGTCTGCAACTTGGCTGTAGTAGAACACATAGTGTTTAAATCTGTTGGAGCATTATAGTGGGTTTTCAATATTACTGGAGGTACAACCATGGTAAATGATACTCTACATAGATTCTTTTGTTCCTCTAATAACTGCTCTTCAGTTTTAAGGGGGAATTCTTTGTACCTATTGGAAGAACATATATTGTATGTATGCATTATGAACATATATGGATACACTATGGTTGCTATAAATTAGTACAGAAAATTAAGCTCTCTATTAAAATACATGAAAACTCAAAATACTTTTCATGATGCAAGAATCAGTGGACAGCAGCTGTGGTTATGGTAGATTCCAAGGTACCCTTTTAAGTTTTTGTGCAAGAGAAAGCATAATTGTGATCTAATTTTAAACTCCTATTTCTAAATAACCAAACTAATTTGTGCTTTTTTTTTTACATTGCTTTACATAATTGATATAATCTGGAGAACAGGACAGCATTTACCTTGTGTTTTATCCCAAGTTCTCAACCACTACACAGCAGAGCCAGTGTTCAACCACTTCCTACAGTTCAGAAGACTTTGAGTGTATCATAATATTGAGCATCCATTGTCTTTGGAGAACAGATGGCACTGATGGGACTTGAAGTGGTGACGGACTTTGGAAAAATGAGGAGGTTTGTGCTATGGAACAGAGGGGAGAACAGACAGGGTTGCTGAAGTCTCCTAGTTAAGGGGTTGCATATGTTTGAGGTGCAGTGAAGGTGTTCTGAGAGCAGAACAGTTGATGGTTTTTAGGTGAGGGCTAGATGGCAGGTTAGTCTTTCTTTGGGATGTTAGAGTACTTTTTTCATATGTGAAATGGCCAAAAATATCTGGATTTCTTTGGCCTGTGTATGAGTCAAAGAGAGTGGAAGCTGAATACTCCCAGCCTCCTCTTGGCCTGACTGCAGTGTTGGCAGGATGATGTCTCTGTGTCATTAAGATCATGAAGTAGTTCACAGACTCACAGAGGGTTGAGGCTGGCAGAGACTGTGGGAATTCATCTGGTCCACACCCCTGCTCAAGCAGGGCCACCTAGAGCCAGTTGCCCATGTCCAGATAGCTTTTGAATATCACAGAGGATAGAGAGTCTACAACCTCCCAAACAACCTGTCCTTCTGCTCAGTCACTCTCATGGTAAAAAAAAAAGACTTTCCTAACATTCATACAGAAATTTCTGTGT